AACAGCTTGAATTCCCGATTCATTTGAGCATGTTTTTAATAAATGAATGTCCCCGTAAGATAAATTACTTGTCTGTCGTAGCACAAAATGTAATGTAGCAGAGAGGTGGGGGGGGGGTGAAACTGGAAAGTGATGTATGTCCTTCATTGGACACAGAACATTTAGTTTTTATTAAGAGTTTAACACGTACACGATACATTAGTGGAGGTTCAATAGCCGTAGCTTTGCTTCTCACTGTATTTCACCCTGATGAATTAGCAACTCAGCACACCACGTAAAATGGCAAAAGGAAATGAGCAGAGCAGCATTATTATGACGTGTTGCACCAGGCCTGGCGAGGCTGGGTAATGTCTTGGCGTGGAGGCTTGATGTTTATTACTTTGACTAATGTTACCTGCGTGGTTGTGGTTTTCTACAGGAGGAGATGAGGAAGGTGCTGGAAAGGTCAGCGCTAGCCTTGGTGTTTCATTAGCAGAGATGTGCTTTTTGCGTTCTGTGCCACAGGCCCGTTGTGATAGAAAATGTCTTTAACAGCCAGTCTTCTATTACCGTATTGTCCCGAATATAAGACGATATTTTTTTCTTGGAAATACATCTGAAAAAACGCGGTCGTCTTATATTCAGGGTCTAGACTTTGACATGTCAATAATACATCCACAACACTAGGTGGCGCCAAATACGCATAAAACGAGTGTGCCATGAAATACGTAATGTAATGCGTGTTGTAAAGATCGTGAGTAAAAACAAAAGAAAAAGAAAAACTTACAGCTGCATGAGTCGTGACTGTCACGTTAGCCTGATGGGACCAAACTCCCTTTGTGATTTTAAAACGTAAGACAGTACCCAGATTTGAAGACTACAGTAAGATTTAACTTCTACTGTTAATAAGATTTTGGTAGGCTACTATTAGATGGATAGCCTAAATGTCCTAAATTTTAATGGTATATCAAAAAGTGTATATTTTTTAAATGTGATTGTTGGTACATTTTACCAGTTTTTACCATGCTTTCAAAACAAAAATTAAAATAGGAAAAATATGCAATATGAAAATAATTGAAGACAAAATGTGTTTTACTGAGAAAAAACAAGATTTGGTTTTTAAAAAGCCTTTTCCCAAAAGGTACATCTGGAAAAAGGGGGGTGCGTCTTATAATCAGGGTCGTCTTATATTCGGGCCAATACGGTACTTTGTGAATTAATATCACAGTCCAGAAAAATTAGCTTAATTATGTGATTGTGACCTCCATTCTATGAGTAGGTGTATAGTTGTTTGAAGATGCGATTTTTGTGTGTATGTTTGTGTACGCAGATGTTTGTGTCGACATGTCAAGCAGCCTGATTTCATTTATATATTGTGTGTATATATACACACACACACACACATACACACTGTTCAAAGGTTTGGGATCAGTAATTAGTATAGTATTTTATTATATAGTATTTTATATATTTTTTAAAGAAGTTTCTTATGCTCGTCAAGGCTGCATTTATTTGATCAAAAATACAGAAAAAACTGTAATATTGTGAAACATTATTGCAATTTAATATAACGGTTTTCTATATTAATGTACTTTAAAATATAACTTATTCCTGTGATGCGAAGCTGAATTTTCATCAGCCATTACACCAGTCTTCAGTGTCACATGATCCTTCAGAAATCATTAATTGGAAACAGTTATGCTGCTCATTTTATTTAAATTTATTTTATATTATTTTATTTTATTTATTATTATATTTTTTTTTTATTTGAACCTCATAGATTTTTCAGGATTCTTTGATGAATAAACAGTTAAAAAGTATTTTTTTAAAATAGTAATCTTTTGTAGAAAGCTGAAATACAACAAAAAAAGAAATTTGATGAGATGAAAAACTTATAAATGAACAACAATTTAAATTAGAAATGTTGCGTAACTGACTGAAATAAAAAGCTGAAGTGCTTAAATTCTTAAAACTAAAACTGAAATAAAAACAAAACGGATTTTTTTAAATGTCATGACAATAGCACATTACTAAAATATAAAAATAAAAGCTAACTGAAAATACAAATATTCATAAATAGTACATAAGAATACATAATTAATAATAAAATGAAGTCTGCAAAAATGGTTGAATGTCTGACATCACTTACAGCAAATTTGGCTCAGTGTGTAAATAATGCGCTGACTTTGAGGAAGTTTCTATCTGTAATTTTTGCAGATGAAAATACACACTCTTAACTTCCAATCTAATATAATTTAATGTCATTCGCACCCTGAACTGGCTTTTTTCTAAACCTGTTTAGTGTTTTGCACCTGCACAAGCATCCCATTGTTTAATTCTGATGAAATCAAGATTGAAGTTTTTGGAATTTTACTCTACATTATATGCGAGCAAGTTATGCTTCATGGCTTTGACGTTATATTGGCTATTTGCACTCAACAAGTGTCTAAAAACAGAGCAAAACTCTGTAATGAGAAACATGCCAAGGGAATAACTAATTGGCAAAATTGATCACTTTAAAAATTGAGTTCAGTCCTGAAGGCTATCAGACATGTAGTGTGTGTGTGTGTTTGTGTATGATGCACAATGGTGTGGGACCTCCAGCATGGAGAGGGAATAAACAGCCAGCCGAGGCTGCTTGATTGCGCTGGATTGTGGGTGGAAAAGGATAAATTAGCAATTCATTCTTAATTACAAAGACCAGAAAAACATTGCAGCTAACAAATGAAGCAACAAAATTACTGATAGGGTGCGCTTCGTTTCCGTGCCGCACTAAAGAATCGTTCTCCCACAAGTCGCAGGGCCAAGCTCTGATTAATGATGATTTCTCATTGAATCTCTCCAAACATTTATGAATTCAGCCGCCTCGGCGCTCCTTCCATAAATCTACGCGGGGGAGAAACATTTCCGCCCACAAAGTCACGCAGATCTTTGATCCGTAAACAGCGCCGCGCACTCCACCTGATCTCGCTGCGCTACCGGGGGTCGTCGAAATAAAGAGCCAGTTCGCCTCACGTTTAATGCGGCCTATTTGCGACGGCGTTTGTCAGTCAGTGAATGGCTGGCAGTCACGTCACCATGTTCGGCCTGGGCGTAATAAAGAGTTGAGTTAAAGCCCTGGATACAGGGCCCGCCGAGCGTGTTTTGAAGTGCCGTGGTCATTCAGCAAGAGGGATTTATGGCCTGCAGTCCATCAGCTCTGATCTTAAAAGGCTGTGATTAACAGCAGAGAGAGTAGAGATGGGATGCGGCACTGCTGTAGGCAAACCTGACAAGGCCATACCACTCAGAAGCTTTTTACTCGGCCTGTTAACAAGGGGACTCACTCTCTCTTACACACACACACACACATTGTTTTTCTGTGGGGGGTGGAAGATAGTAGCATATGTCTCTTTCAGGATGGAATAAGACCTTATTCAGGGGCTCTTGAACCTATTTTTTTAACAACTGTATTTTGTCTTGAAATTGACTGATATTTAATTCTAATTATTTAAATAAATATATATTTAAATCTGAGGGACTACAATGCCTTTTTAATATCTCAAATTTTTTTTTTTCCTTTTTTATCTTGTGAGAATTATAAACTAATGTATTTAATCATTTGTCCTTCATAAAAAAGTAATAACTATTTAGGATCCCAGGAACTCCAGGTGTAAAAATAATATTAAACATAATGATTTTTTACATACTAAAATGTTATTTATTTATTTATTTGTATTTTTTTTTTTGCTAGTCAAATTGAAGCAAACAGAAGCAATTTTCTTGTTACATACTCACGTGTGTGTGTGTGTGTGTGTGTGTGTTTAATTTTAAGTTTAATTTTAAATATTTTAATCTTTTTAATTAAAATTATATTATATAATTATATAATATTTTATTTGCTCAATAGGTTTTGGCTATTAATTTGATTGTAATATATTATAATAAGACCCTATTCAGGGGCTCTTAAATCTGTTCTAAGCCCATAACAACTGCATTTTGTCTTGAAATTGACTGAAATTAACTAATCATTTTAAAATCTAAATACATATTTAAATCAAGATATTCCAAGGTCTTTTTTAAAATCTAAATCAAAAGACAGGTTGATCGTTTGATTTGATTGCAAACTATTCCATCATGTCCTTCATTTAAAAAAAAATTTAAATAATAAAATAAAAGTTATGTTTGGTCTCAGAGACTGAATATGATTAAATGTAATAATTGTTTTACATGCTAAAAATCTTATTGATATTATTTTCTTCAGAATGTTGGAGTCAAAGCGAAGCAAACAGAAAGAGTGTACTGGATTAGAGTCTCATTTATGAAAAACTGTCTACTTCGTGATTTTAAAAAAATGTACTGTTAAAGCTTCAATAATATCTGTAAACTACTATAAGTTTTTAGTTGGAATGGTAAATAAAAGGTTTATTTTCAAATTCCTGTAATTACTTTTACTCATTAGCATCTCAAATAAAAAATGCATGTTTTCATGTCGACTTAAATTTGAAGTGTATTAAAACCATTTGTTATATTTTTAAACACTGGCTTGCTTGAGGCTTGCATTTATGTGTATTTATCCCAGTGAATTTGGTATCAACACTTTTAATTGTTGAAACGTTTTAAGTATTTATTTCTCGTAATTTAATGTGCAGTTATTGTACATTTTAGATCAGTTTCTCATTGTGACATAAGTTGCTTACAGTATTTATTTAAACCTAGCCAAGTCAGTACACCCCCATCAGTACAATCCCACATCACTCAGGCAAAAGCACGCACTTTTAACGCCACGCCATTAGTATGATCTCCCAGACTTGCTGTAGCGGAGACGTTGTGTCAGCTGTGGTTGGCAGAATATCTGTATTCTACCAAATACGGATGCACAAAATTAGTATTGCACTCAGGTGCGTGTCAAAAGCAATCTGTCCACTCACAGTTTGAAATTAAATCAGATACACTCATTATCTCTTTGCAATACTAAAAGGTTTCAGGCATCTGAACAACCACAACCTGTCCCTAAAGTTTTATCTCACTTGCTTGCACAGGTGGAGAGCACGCGGCCACTGTAACACATCCACTTCCTGCGGCCTTCTCCGACCTGCTGCCACACTTCCTGGTGGAGCCTGATGATGTTTATATCGTTAAGAACAAGCCAGTGACCCTCACCTGCCGCTCAACCCCTGCCACTCAGATCTACTTCAAGTGCAACGGCGAATGGGTTCACCAGGATCAGCACTTGATCGAGCGTGACGTGGACCCTGCCACAGGTAGACCCTCTCAACACTCTCTCCGAGGGCGACTAAAGCCGGCTGACCCGCAGCATTTATAAAATGACACTAGAAAACAGGAGTGCCTATAAAGGATGCTTTCTAGATGTGATGCTCTTTCTTCTTCTGTAGTATAGCACAAAATACAAGGACTTCCTTCAAAGCAATTTTCAAAATGTCTTCTGCCCATATCATGAAGAGGGCTTGCTTTGTGCTCAGGGATTGGACTGTTGCATTAGTGTACTGTCTATCATAAAGGGCCAGTTTAGTTTGGATATTTCTTGGTTTTTGGAGAAGAGGCAGCAATATTAATAATTAAACTGCAAAAAAACAAAATGTCAGTTTTGTAATCTATTAATAATATAATTTAATAATAAATGCCTTACAGTGATTTTACTCTATAGTTACCAGATGTTGCTATGCACACTGAAAGCTTTTAAAAAACTGCAGTAACAGCAGTATTATATAAGACTAATGTTCTGTTCTATTTATTAATAGTAATCATTTAGCTTAACCGTAGGCTGTTCATGGTTTCCAAGCAACATTATGGTCAAAGTTAATTCTGTAAACTTGGCAAACTAATATATAAGTATTAGGCTAGACATTATACATAATGATGATGTCATACTCCATACAGAGGCAATATAGAGTCAGATATTTTTGTATGAATAGCCTAATGATCAATTTTGGCCTTACATAATGTAAGGTCACCTAATGAAGAGTTTGTGACCCATGATAAATGATAACGGATTGAAAGCCAGATGTTCTTTATCGACATTTCAGGCAGCTTATCATGTGCAATGACTGAAAACATTACCTTTAAAGGGGTCATATGATGTTGCTAAAAAGAACATTATTTTGTGTATTTGGTGTAATCCAATGTGTTTATGCGGTTTTAGGTTAAAAAAACACATTATTTTCCATAAACTGTACATTATTTTTTACGATTTTTACAAAGCTTATCGTTCTGAAAAGCGAGGTGTGCTCTGATTGGCCAGCCATACAGTGTGTTGTGATTGGCTGAATACCGCTAGCGTGTGATGGAAATGTTACACCCCTTACCATACTGTGTCTCCGTGTGTCCCGGCGCAATGAGACAAAACCAATAAAACCCATTACAAACGAGGCATTTGTTGCATCCAGTGGGGACATAATTACAGATTATAA